TAAACTTTCTTCACATAAACTTTTTCACATAAATATAGATGTGTTTGGCTGCAAATTGAGGTTTGTAAAGTTTGCAAGTAAGGAAAGAAATACTGTAACTAGAGTTTTATAATAGTAATGCAAAGTGGCAGCAATTTAAAGTAATTTTCAAACATAAGCCCTGCTCCTGGACCAGAAGAATTCTACATATGAGAAAATTGCAGAGTGATGTTTTATGTGATATTTTAGATGATTGATCAATGGCCACGAAAGACTCTGAATCAAGAAATTTAGACTTAGACCTTATTTCGTCCATAAAGTCTTTCGGTAGAAACAAAATTCTAATCACCACTCACGGAAACAGAGCTGGGGACAATATTTATCACTAATCAAATGTAAAATGTACCCAAAGTAGGCTGGGCACAGTGGGTCACACCTGTAATCCCGGCATTTTGGGAGGCTGAGGTGGGTGGATCACTTGAGGTCAGGAGTTCGAGACCAACCTGGGCAATAGGGCAAAATTCCATCTCTACTAAAAAAACAAAAAATTAGCTGGGCGTAGTGGTACATGTTTATAATCCTAGCTACTCGGGAGGCTGAGACGGGAGAATCGCTTGAACCCTGGGAGGCAGAGGCAGCACTGAGCCAAGATCACAACCACTGCACTCCAGCCTGGGTGACAAAGCAAGACTCTGTCCAAAAAAAAAAAAAAAAAGTACCCAAAGTGTATAGCATGGTACCAAGCACGAAGTATAAGCATAGGGGACTGGTAAGCGTTTGCTGTTTTCACCTACCTTCTTTGGAAATACTGGATCCCAAATTCAGCCTGCATTTATAGAAAAAGACATGGCAATATACCTAAATATATTCAGGTGAATTGACTTATTTTAAAATCCAATGTCATACCCTCTGTGGCTCAAAGCAACTGACTGTGACAAGAACTTTTATTTATAGGCAAGGCAAAGCTGCCCAGCAGAGCCTCCATCCAAGAAAATAAAACTAACAGTAGGGAGTAAGGAAATTAACTTTCAAAGCACCCTACAGTTTTGATAATAACATTCAATTGCTGTAGAAAGCTGGGACTTTGCATTATTTAATGACTAGAATATAAATTAACACCCTTTTTTTTTTTTTCAAATCTAATAATGTTACAAAGCAGAATTTAGAACATTTACTACTTATAAGCAAACTAACCCCCCTTCTTAACTTGTGTTCAATTGGGAAGGAAAACATCACCCAGGCATTTCAACAGCCATGCCCTCTTGCAAAGGATGTTCTTACAAAACATCAGGATTTTATCTATACCAGCACTTTTATAAACGGCAGGTCTCAACTCATGAGTGGATCCTAAAACGCAATTCAGTGAGTCACAAGCAGCTTAGAAAAAAACGACATAGAAAATTTGCACATGATATTTTGTGAATAGTGTATGTGTTATGGGTATTGGGTGATGTTGCAATATGTATTTCTTATTGCGGATTGTGGTCAAGAAAAACTTGAAAGTCACTCAAATAACCAAGCTGTAGAGCTACTCGATTACATGATTACACATATGGTTTTTTCAAACAAAGGCATATTGTTCAGCACCGGTGTTTTTAAACAGAAACACAAAGGGAATGGAAGCCAGGGTGGCTAATGGTACATAATGGCCTTAATTACACTACTGAAGGATCAATATTAGCATAGCTCAGTCACCAGCAGCCAAGGCACAGAAACTGGTACAGCAGGAAGTGGGAAACTGGGAATCGGTCATCCCCGCCTGATGCTCTGGGTGCACATTCCAAAAAGATGATTCCATATGGTCCCCAGGGCTGGCTTCCATGAAAATAGGGAAAGAAACACGCGTTTGCCTGTAAGTCACAGAATCCTGCAGATGCCTGAAACACACTTCAAGTCCCAGCTCCCTCCCAAAGCCCAAATGTGAACATCAAAGTAAAACATTAAACATCCACTCAAAAACAACAGGGTGGAGCTCCTGTTTCCTGGAGAGAAAGCAGTCTGCGCCCGGGAAAAGTCTTGGACTCCGAGAAGGAGATCCTGCCTGGCTGGGTGGGCGATGTGACAACAGCCAAAGAAATCCAAAGATTTCTTCCATCCAGAGCGGGCAGGCACGATGCCCTGCGCTGGGGATGGGGCAGGGGCTGGCCTGGCCGCAGGGATAGGCTGCCTCTTCGCTTGAGGCCCTGCCCAGATGCCACGTTGAGATGCTCAAGGACAAATGGGAAAGTTTTTCCAGTACTCTCATCTTCCTGGGCCCCAACTACAGAGTCCTGGATCAACTTGCAACTTCCTCTCCTTTCTCATCTTTTTGTGGCCACCGTCTCTCTTCCCCAGACACCCACTTAGGTCACTGGCTTTCCCACTGCCCTGCTCCCCCCATATTTCGTGGCCCCCGCTGCCCCACCACTCCCTTTGCGAACTCCCTGCTTTCACCCCTGGCCCAACCTTCTGGCTCTCGGAGGACACTGGGAGTGGGGTGGGGTGGGGCAAACCCCACTGCAGGCGTAAGGGGATAACAAGATCCCAACGCGTCCGAAGCAGCCACCGGCCCTCCCGCCGAGGCTGCCTCGAGGCGCAGGCCACAAGTTGCGCTCAGGACGACACCCCTGGGTCCTGACACTCTGTCCCCCACCTCCCTGGCAGGGGCCGCGTCGCGACTTACGTGCAGTCCTGGTTGAAAGAGAAGCAGCTGAGCGCCGACTCGACCCCACCCGGGGGAGCGTCCGCGCCCTCGGCCTCCATCGGGGGCTCGGCCCGGGAAGCCGCAGCTCGGAGCCGGCGACAGCCACCTCAGCAGCCCGCCCGCTCCGGCTCCACGGGCCGGGTCGCCGGTCCTGCCCCGCCCCGTCCCCGCCCCGTCCCGTCCCCGCCCCGTCCCCGCCCCGTCCCCGCCCCGTCCCCGGCCTCGCTCCGCCCCTCCTTGCCTCTCGAGCGGGTCCCGAGGACCAGAGCACCTGACAGGGCGGGCCCCCTGCCTCCGGTCACCATTGGCCACGAGCCCAAGCCGCGGCGGGCGGACACCGCCTCCTTGGCCAATCCGTGACGGCTGTGGGCGGATCCACCCTGGCGACCCGCCCCTGGCTTCGTAACGCGGCTTTCCATTGGACAAAGGCGCGTGACGCAAAGGCAGCAGGCCCACGTGGTGGTGTTTTCATTGCCGGAGCCGCCCAGCTGGGAGGGAGAGGGAAGAATGAATGCGGCTGGAGCCAGACCTGCCGGTTTCAGTCCGGCAACTGTGTCCGGGCCACCGCAAGCGGGGCAGGAGGACGCGCTAGTTCCCACCCCGCCCAGACCCCTTGACATGTGTAACTCTGCCTGTTAAACTTACAGAGTTTAGCAGAGAGGGTTAGACTCCAAAGCCCCACCCTTTTGTAGAGTCCTCAAACTGCATTGAGAGAAGCTCCTGAAATGGGGCTGCCTCAGCCAGAGAGATAGCAAGTTATCTTATCCATTGCTGAGCGGTTGAGAACCTCACTACTTGCCAAGCGCCATACTATGTATGTCATCTTGTTGAATTCTTATAAAACTTGTGTGGAAAATATGATTGTGCTCAATATACAGAAGAGGCAACTGAAGCTCCAAAGCTACACAATTTGTCTAAAGTAACAATAAATGGTAGAATGTGTATTTGCTTTCAAGACCTGTGCACTAAATAACTGCTAAACAGTTATTTGGCAAGACCTATCCGATCCGTAGCTGAAAAGAAAATGAAAGAGTGTGTAGGGCAGTGTAGTTTATGAAAGGGGTAAAGTCTGGAAGACGTAGCACAATTCGAAACTCACATAATTCGAGATAAACCTTGACAAAGGATCTCTTTTTTCAAGCTAAGTACTGTACATATTTCCATGTGGAATTATTGTCAATACGGCTTATGAATCAGGCGCTCTGCCAGCTTTGGATTGTATAATTGCTGATGGATTTTTAATTCATCGTTTTCAAACTTTGAGATATTTTAATTATTGTTATATGACAGTGTCTCAGATCAGCATAATTCAAATTTATTAGGTTGGTGCAAAAGTAATTGCGATTTTCCCCATTTCCCACTTTTAATACCTAGTTTATGACAAAGCCATATATATATATGTATATATTTTAATCTTGGACCTAGAATAGATGAGCAAAGGGCACTGTTTCACCTAAACCTTTCTGGTTGGATTTCCGGTTTGTGTTTTCTGAGATGCAAATGTAACAGTTTCTTTTCTCAACTTTATTTTTTTTCTCTCCACTGATGTAAAAAATAGTTCAGCTCATAGACTCAGAGATGTTACTGCTCTTTGGCTGATTGTGAGGTGTTGTATAAACTCTCAGAAGTGAATGGAACTGCTGTTTAGATACTTCGTGCCATTTTTGTAACCTCTCAGATCAAAGCTGCTTCCCCCCCCACCTTCCAGCTCTGTCAAACGCTGCAGTCATTTCTGTCCTGGTTAGAAAACCTAGAATCTGGCATGCTAGGTGCTAAATTGTTTGGAGAATTACATGAAGCGTACCATAAAGTTTTTAAAGTGTAAGCTGTTATTATCAGTTTGTTATTAAGAGTCTGGACTTTATGGGGTAGATGTGGGAGCTGGTGTTAGTTTTTGAGCAGGAGTGTTTCGTGATAAAAGCAGTGTCTTTGTCAGATAAAGTTGGCCAGGGTGTGCAGAACAAAGTAGAAGTGGGAAAATACCTAGAAGTCTTTAGGGGACTAATGTGAAATTCTGGAAGTAAAGGGACCGGAGAGGCTGACCAATAGATAAAATGAGCCCCAAATGTGAACTCCACATGTAAATTTCAATTTTCCAGAAGATACATTTAAGAAGGTAAAAAGAAATAGGCAAATTAATTTGAATAATATCATTTATTTAATCTAATATATCCAAAATATCATTTCAATATAAAGATAATCAATATAAAGTTACTGATCAGTTAATTCAGGTTTTAATTTTCTTTCTTTCTTTCTTTCTTTTTTTTTTTTTTTGAGACAGAGTCTCGCTCTGTCACCAGGCTCACTGCAACCTCTGCCTCCCGGGTTCAAGCGATTCTCCTGCCTCAGCCTCCTGAGCAGCTGAGACTACAGGCTACAGGTGGGTTCAAGCCATTCTCCTGCCTTAGTCTCCTGAGCAGCTGGGACTACAGGTGCCCGCCAGCATGCCCAGCTAATTTTTGTATTTTTAGTACAGATGAGATTTCACCATATTGGCCAGGCTGATCTCAAACTCCTGACCTCGTGATCCACCCGCCTCGGCCTCCCAAAGTGCTGGGATTACAGGCATGAGCCACCATGCCTGGCCTTAGATTTTAATGTTTTTAGAACTAAATATTGAAAATCTGGTGTGTGTTTTTTACTTATAGCATATCTCAGTTCTCATGAGCCACATGTTAAGTGTTCATGTAGCTGGTGGCTACTTTATTCTCAGTAGACTCTTGAGGGACTAAATGACAGGCATGGCAACTAATGGGGAAGGGGAAGGGGCAGGGAAGAAGAGGGAAGAGTCAAAGCTGGTTTCGTGGTTGGGAAGGGGAAGCCTGTTGAGTTGCTTTTAGAAACTAGATCTTCAGTCAAGTAATGAGGAAGATTTATTTCATTTCAGGCACTTTTCATTAGCAGCAGAACTGCATGCTTACTGGAATTAAGGTTTGGATGTAGAGATGTGGCCATGGGAGAAAAATGGTCACCTTCCCAGCCCCAACCTTCCTGTGAACGATCCCCCTTATATGTTTCTTTCCAGGCTAATGGTCCATTATGCCACCAGCCATGTGGAAATAACGTCCCAGGGCTGCCTCATCTGACTTCCTTTTTCCCAAGACAATACGTAAGTCTATATTTTTATATAAATCTATGCCTATTTTAGTAAAAACCTGCATTTGTAGGTAAATTTAAAAACTGGTGAAAACTAATTCTTATTTTCAAAAAGTACCTTGTGAGCCAAACTGAATACATCAGCTAGCTGGATGTGGTTTGTGGAGGGCTGGTTTGTGATTTTTGTTAGAGGTGTAAGCAGCCACTTTGAAGAGCTCCACCCTCAAAAAATTTCCCAGAAGTCCATTCATATAAAAAGCCAAGGACAAGGTTATAAATAACTTAAGAGGTGCTGAATCCATTGAATGTCAGACTGGTTTTTCTTTTTTAACATTCTAGTTCTGGGTTCTGTGGAAGAGGACATTCTTGATTTGAATGTTGGGCTTACGAGCATCCTAATTCTTACAAGTTCTTGCAACAGCAATTTCACTACTAAATAACATCAGCAAAAGGTAATGGGGTAGGTGGGATGGCAAACAATGCTTTGTTCCAATGGGAATAAGATTTTGGCTTCTTCTCTTTCGACTGAAATTCCTAAATGTCTATCTTTTCCCTGAAAAACAAAACAAACAAACAAAAACACCTCCATTATTTCTAGGAAAACTTACTCGTAAGTTACTTACCAGTCAGCAAAATCTGGGAGAATAAAGCTGGGCTCTGGGAATTAAAAATATGTTTGGTAATACAAAATTGCAGGCCACGATTCATCTAATGGAGAGACTTCTTATTTGTGTAACAATCAGGTTGTAATTTTAAAATGCTGATTAGGGCATGCACAGGGCATTCACAGGGGAAGGTGGAAATGAGATGTCCTGTCTGATGCAACACTCCTGTCACCCCATATGGTCACTCATGGCACCCAACCATCTATAATTAGAGTAACTACTAGGTGAACAAACACTGTTCCTGTTCTGTTCTTCTTTTTATAAAGTCCATTCTATTTTTATAAAACCAAGTTACAGGAAATAATCTCCTTTTTCTTTTCTGCTATGGGGCAATACTCAGAACATGAACTGAGAACGAGTTGAACCCTAATGGGCCAGTTATGTGGCCCTTTGAGAAAGGGTAAAGTAGGAAGGGCCTTGGGACAATGGAGCCAAGAGGGAGAGGGAGGGAAGGGCGATGTGTCAGTACGTGGAGGAAGTTCAAGGAGTCAGCCCTATGGTGCCAGGGTAGAAGAGGAGGGGTTGGGCTGTGGGGTGATTTCTGGGAAAGGAGATGATGGATCTGATTGGCAAGCAGGAAGCCAGAGATCTGGCTGAGCAGCAGGTGCAGCTGGGTTTTTGTTTCTAATTATAGACAGTTCGTGTGAGATAGCATGGCTGCAGGGAATGAAGGACCCCTATCATGTGCCCTTGTCCCCCAAATGGAACCATTATTTCTGGATTTATTGATGGAAAGGGGAGAGACAGGGAGCAAAAACTAACAACACTTCTAATATTCCTTGACTTACATATTCCTTCCCAAGAGTCAGGAAAAATGTCATTTCATGAAAGAGTGAACTGATGTCTTAATCTTCATTCTCTCCCCTCACCCATCTTATGTTTGCCTCCAGAATAACCTTCCTGAAACAGCAAGGTGAATCACAGGTTTTCAATAAATGCTTGCTGATTGGCTGATGATCACGAAGACAGTTGCTCTCTATGAGTGCTTTTGCTAATGTCCTTTGAGCTGAGAGTCTATTACTCATGCCAGTGCAGAGAGGTTCAATCAGGGTGTGTTTGTTCACTGAGGCATCTTCAGATTGGTCGAGAATACAGAGACGGGTTCAGCAGGTCAGCCGATCACCCTGCCTTAAATTTTAGAGTATAATTATAGGCGATATCTGAAAATAGAAAACCAAGCTTTCTATAAAGCTTGGTTTGGAGCGTCATCCATCTTCTCATTTAACACTAACCACACCTATCTGGTCTAGGAATGTTTATCCCCATCAGGCAGCTGCATATGCCGAAGTGGAGACTGTTGAGTAAGTTGCCAAAGGCCCGAGCACAGTTTTTGATGCAGGTGTGGTTGTATTCTGTCCCTTCCACTGGGTGCCCGGGTTGCCAGTCCACGCTGTCTCTCGGACTCCTTTGGCTCAAGGCTGGAAATAGAATTGGCATCTTAACCTGTGCTTCATCCTATGAGGGGACAGAGGAGCAAGGGGTGAAGAGATAGAGGCCGAATTATGCCAAGAGGGTCACAGGCTAAGTACAAGGGGGAGAGTGTGGAGTCCTGCAGCTCTTCAAAGGGCACCAACACTTTGCCTGCATTTACCAAGGGTACGTCTAGAAATACTCAAAAACGACCTTTGCTCCCAGAGGGTTAGCCTGTGCTCCTGGCTGGGCATGGCTTGTTGGGAAGTGCTGTACTACTTTAGGTTTCTTTCTAGTCTAGCGGTGGTGTAGGGAGTGGTAACCATTTTTTAGAATCAGTCAACCCTGGGAAGAAGGTGGATTCAAAGGCTTTGGGGTGGAGGTGAGAGGGGCGTGGCTAAGAATCCCGAGATTCTTGGTGAACAGTGCCATCTAGTGGTCTGCGTGATTTAGTTTTAGGATGGTTGGGTGGACACCTCAGGAAAAACTGGCTTGAGTGATAAGATATGGGTAGCCGGTCCGAAAGCCCCAAAAGGTAAGTCTCTGAGGCTGCCTTGTGTATTCTTCCAAAACCTGTTTACTGTCTATAAATGGAAAACACAGAAGCCTCCCTCACCACTCCCTCTGAAGAAGAAGAAGTTTGGAAGGAGTTTGTATAATCATTCATTCATCTGATCAATTTTTTATCACGTGCCTGTTGTGTACCAGCCATGGCCCCAGGTTCTAGGGATATGACACTGTCCAAAAGAAATAAATAAAACCCCCTGCCCACCAGGGCAGAGAGACCATCAACAAGAAAAATGAGATGTATAGTTCCTAGATGGTGATAAGTGCTAAGAAGAAACGCACAGCAGTGAAAGCGTGTTTGGGAGTGTGGAGTGTGGGGAGGAAAGATTTTGCATAGGGTGGGAAGGGAAGGCCCCACTGAAAATTTCCATTTGAACAAGACGTCTGGAAGAAAAGGGAGCAGATTATGCAGTTATGGGGGAAAAGGCTCAAAGAGCAACGAGGAGGCAGGGCCACTGGAGTAGGGAAGAAGAGTGGGGAGAACTACAGGTAAAAAGGTCAGAGTGACCTGAGAAATCGCTGGAAGTTCTGACTCAGATTGGAATTCGACACAAGCAGCTGTGCTGAAAATAAATTGAAGGTGTCTTGGGAGATTTCGCTTTAGCACGTTCGAGTCTCCAGAAAGCCCAGCATTATGTTTATTTAACATTGTTTCCCAAGTACTTTCCAAGCTTATTTAAAGATAGATCCCTGTCTTCCAGGAACACCCACTACATGTGGGAACCTGAGAAAATGGAAATCAGCTCGGATAAGCAGACTGGAACATTCCCGACAGCCATAAACAAGGCCAGCACAAGGCCAGGCAAAAACCGTGTTTAACCCAAGGCCACACCATAGCTGCAAAATTACTGACACTGGCATGTCTAATCCTTTCGTATCAAAGCCTCTCCCAGACCTACTCAATTTCTCCACTTGCTGAACAAAAATTTCTGAGATACCCAATGAGGAAACCACCCTGCCTCACGACACACCCGTTCCTGACCTGATTCCTGTTTCTTCTACCTTTCCCTCCCTAGCATCACTTAACACAAACCCGGCAAAATATCCCTTTCCCACAGCCTCTTACTGAGATGCCTCATGGCTCACTTGATGTGCACACCCTCTTGCTGCAGGAAGTTAATAAAACTGACATTGCCGAGGCGGATGGATCACAAGGTAATTAGCTAGGTGTGGTGGCGTGCGCCTGTAATCCCAGCTACTCAGGAGGCTGAGGCAGGAGAATCGCTTGAACCCGGGAGGTGGAGGTTGCAGTGAGCCAAGATCACGCCACTGCACACTGCACTCCTGCCTGGGTGACAAAGCGAGACTCCATCTCAAAAAGAAAAAGAAAAAAAAAAAGTGACATTGACAAGATTCATTCCTCTGATACTTTACCTGTTATCAGAGCCCAGCATTTCATAGAACAAGTTGTAAGAATAGCTGGACAAAATGATTATTTCCTATTATGAAATTCTGAGTCTAAAGATAAGACATTGCATCTCCCCCAAATCTGTCTTGTGTACCAATTGAGAACAGCATCTTAAGAATGAAAAGGGTGAGGAAGTGTGGTTTTTTCTTTTTTTTTTTTTTAGACGGAGTCTCACTCTGTCGCCCAGGCTGGAGTGCAGTGGTGCGATCTCAGCTCACTGCAAGCTCCACCTCCCGGGTTCATGCCATTCTCCTGCCTTAGCCTCCCGAGTAGCTGGGACTACAGGCGACCGCCACCACGCCTGGCTAATTTTTTTTGTATTTTTAGTAGAGACGGGGTTTCACTGTGTTAGCTAGGATAGTCTCGATCTCTTGACCTCGTGATCTGCCCACCTCAGCTTCCCAGAGTGCTGGGATTACAGGCGTGAGCCACCGTGCCCGGCCAGCTTATTTTTATAAGTTGCTCCTTGTCTCTCTGGTCCCTTCTGCTGCTAACATTTTTGGCTGAACATTTGTACTATGGGACCTCTTGGCTTGGTGAGGGTTTAATACTCTTCCCTCCTGCCAGGAGCCTCCTTGGAGTTTCTCAGGCAATGCATGGATGTCTGAAGACAGACCAGATTGGTTCTGGGCAAAACAAAGGACATTGTCTCTGCTTTCTATTATTATTATTTTTTTTTTAGATGGAGTCTCACTCTGTTGCCCAGGCTGGAGAGTAGTTGTGCGACCTTAGCTCACTGCAACCTTTGCCTCGGGGGTTCAAGCAATTCTCTTGCCTCAATCTCCAGAGTAGTTGGGGTTACAGGTGTGCGCGACCACGCCCAGCTTATTTATTTATTTATTTATTTATTTATAGAGACGGGGTTTCACCATGTTGGCCAGGCTGATCTCGAACTCCTGACCTCAGATGATCCACCCGCCTGGACCTGTCAAAGTGCTGGGATTACAGGCGCGAGCCACCGCGCCTGGCCTGTCTCAGCTTTCTTGAGCTGTAGTGAGTGTATAGGCAATGGTGATTCACAAAAGCAGATTGCATCTTAGAAAGCTCCCTGCAGCAGCAGTAGAGGATATTGGAGATGGGTGGGTGATGGGGCAGAGACCAGGTGACAGGCTGGTGTGTCAGACCAAGTCAGACACTGGAACTTAGGTGCTTGCTGCGGGTGGAGGTAGAATGTATAGGACTCAGTGGCCTATTAGATGAGGGAACAGGGAGAGGCACGTCAGCATGGAGATTGGTTGTCAGTGTAACTTGGGTTTCCTCTGACCTTACTGGCTTCTGCGTGCAAATGGGCCTGTGTTATCAGTTACCCAAATTTCATCGGCTTCTTCTACCTTTTATAGAACATTCAGCTCCCTCCAAAGCCCTTCCTATTAATTACTGGGAATCCCCGGAAACACCTCGCACCTGCAGGGACCTGCCCT